CGTTTGCGGCGTTTGCAGTTAATTCTACGGTTCTCAGTTCCTGATTTTTAATGCCGCCAACCTTGTCTGAAATTTCCAATCAAGAAAAAAAAAGAGATATATGATAATCTTAAGAGTTTCTGGGAAAAGCAAATAATTTTTCACCCCCTTTTACCTTGACCGACCGACCCTTCCTCAAGGTAAAAAATCAGAACCGTAGAATCACCATGCACACTCTTACCGAAACGAATAACTATCTCTATGTAGAATTTATCAAAATAACAACTTACCCAAGACAGAGTTATCCTCCGCAAAAGAATCTAAACCACGATTTTCAAATTTTAAAATGATCGGCACAATGAATTTGGAGAAACTGCTTTAAGGAAACAGGCCGCATTTCACCAATTTTTTACTTGTGAAACAAAAGAGACAACATGTCTCTTCGGATTCATTACAACTGATCGATTATCGGTTTCAACCTTTCACCCAGGTTGATAATTGTATACGTCAAATTTAAAGAAGTTGATCTCGGTCAAATTAGACTTTAGATAGTGTTGCAAGTGCAAACTTTTAGGAGACAAAATCAGGTGAACAAACTTGGTCCAATCTATGTGTCTGTTAACAACTTTCCCATTGATTTACTCTTTGTCCACTGTTTGATAAGAAAACCATAAGTGTAAAAGGAAACAAGAATTTGTTGGAACAGGCCCACGTGCGATAACATTATAGTTCCCAATTTAAAACTGTATCAAGTTCTGATCGGTTCAGTTCAGTTGGCCCGCTACCAACAAAGAGTGCATTTCTACTGAATAGCTTCTTTTGCAGAGGAGTTAACCCACCCGTTATATTAAATACAGCATCTATAAACGCAGAGTGTTTAACATTGACACATATCTGCTCCACCTCTGAATGTCCTGTCTCCGGTGTGTGTTCTGGCTGACTAGGAAGGTTTTTTTTTTATCTAGCCAGGGGCCTTTGGAGGTATTGGGCGCACCGGTTCCACATCTTCCGGTCGTAGCTGTAGGATGCATCGCCAACCATGTGCCTTCTTTGGCAACCCTTCACGCAGGGGTCTGGTGTGAGGTCGCGGATGAATTTGAAACAGCTAAAGCAGTCCATGGGACATAGGCTGGAGGCTCTCTTGTCGAGGTGGTGGGAGGCGGGTGACAGGATGTCAACCACCCGCTTGGCCATATCACGGGCGTCGAATTCGTCGTCTGCGTCGGCGTAAGGCAGCGCAATGACAGCCTCAAAGAGGAGGGCCAAGGCGCAAAAGCACATTACAGCTTTCTGCAGACAAGAATCAAAATGTGAAATAGTCTATTAAAGTAAGACATGATACCATACGAAGCAACGATTTATCATATGAAGGATCGGTAACTTTCTCCTGGTGCGAATGTAAAATCTATCCAAAATAACAACACCTATTGTTATCTAACAAAAGACGTACGATATTCAACCAAGTAAAAAATGTTTTCCTTGCGTTATTGTTGGATACTGAGTATCTGCTCCAAGCGGAACAAAAGACGGCGTGGTTTTTTTTGTTTTGTTTTTGGGTTTTTTTTGGTAATCACCATTGATCTCCATATAATGGAGATCAATGGTACTCACCACATAACTATCCAGTTCGTAAGTGTGAGGCAATCCGGTTTGTAAGTGTGACGTCACTTCAGTTTAAACCACGCCCACTGCACACGTGCACTGCACATAGAGTTACAACGGTTACGATGATGACGCGCACCAATGACAATTGCTGCAGTCTTGGTCACGTGGACATTGGGGCCGTTTTCCAATACTAAACTTCGTCTCCGTCATTGATCGCCGTTTACATGGAACCACGGAACCGGAAGTTAATGCGCAATTTCAGCGATTGTCCAATGAGAGCCTGCAAATCGTGGCGCGTCCGCCTTTGTGACGAAGTCACTTACGAACCAGATAGGCGCGCCATGAGGCGCGCACGTATATGCGCGTTTGACGCAGAGCACGCTGAGTACGCGTAACTAATTTTTTGTGGCATGTCTTTGCGTACACGCTGAACGCGTGCAAGAACCCGCTTGTAACCACATGTCTTTCTTTCGCCGATTGGGGGTTCACTTCAGCTCGGGGCGGATTGGTTTTTAATAAAAAAAGTTATTTGTTGATTTTTCATTATTGCATAAAACTCGTTCTGTTACCCTCTCTGACACCGGACTTTAATGGTAAATTTCTGAATAGAATATTTTTGTCCTCTACATTCTCAGTAAATTCGTCGTTAGAACGAACTAAACCGCATCCTCTTCCTATTTTTCTTAGCTTTATTCATTCTTTCTATGCGGAGCATTCTCGCAAATGTACATCATCAACCTCTTTTGTCGGTTTATACACACGTGGGGTTTGTTTTCATTAAGTTCCTGCAATGTTTGTTTGGAAAAGTGCAGAATCCGCACACATTGCAAACATTAAGAGCTGTGGTCATTGCACTATGAGCTGAGATCTCGAGATTTCTCGACTGACAAGATTTGCTCCTCCATCAGTATTATTCTGCGAAAGCCTGCATTATATGCTAATGCTTTGATCGCAGAGCTGAATCTCCATGCTTCAAGTCGCTGTTTTGAGGTTGAAATACTGTCGACGTTTTAACGATCCACACATTTCTTCTTTCCAACTCAGACCCCCCCCGTCTGGTTCTGGTAGTGGGTTTTTTTCAAATTGTGGTTCTAATAAACGATTTCAAACGTGGAAAAAGAAAGAAAGAATTGTTTTATGATAATGATGAATTACACATGCATAGCACCTGATTCGACCGTTTCTAAGCCCTTTCTATCAGACTGAATAAAATGTGCCTTTAACTGAATCTTGAATGAATTTATCGAGGGTGCGTCTTGGATCCTGTGGGGGAGGGGGGCTGGTTAAGAGTCTATACTGTTATCGTGATGGCCCAGTAGGACGTTGTTTAATATAGCACAGAAACAGAAGCAGACTGGGACCTATACATAAATCGTTAACATATAACGTCCTAAATTAACGACAGGCTTCTCGTACCGATGACATTTTCAGAGTGTGCAAAATGACAGGATCAAACTCTTAAATGTAACGAGTCAACATAATTTAATTTTGGATTTTTTGCCCTGCCCGACTCGGCATCTTGCCTCACAAAGCACCTTGTGAAGATCTTGTCATTTTTTGGACTGCCTGCAAACTGTTACCGTGAAACGTTTTTGTTTTCTGATAATCATGACCTCCCCCGAAAACCAACCTTGATTCCTCATCCAGGGAACTATTCCCCCGTCGATTTAATTCTCTTCAGAACAAGATTGCCCTTCCGCGCGTCTATTACTCAAACAGTAAGACTGATTGACCTCACGCTGCTTGTCTCAGCATTGACCAATTTGGAATCATACGCAGGGATGCGTCAGACGACGAAGAGACACTATACATGTAGCCTATAGCCCACCCATTAAAATCTTCACTTGCAGAATAAATGGTTAGGTTAGTAATTTAGCACTTTTCTAAACACTTTCTTGCGATCACTTTGAGAACATCTTATAGTACTGATGGGTGGTGCTTTCTATTTATAACTGACGTTTAAGAGTTTGACATGTCATGTTTAGCCCCAAACATGTTCAGGGCGACGAAAAGATTGTGTTTTTAATCGCTGAACACAATTTTTAGAATGTAGGCCTACTTGAGAAATTTCGACCCTCGTGGTGTATTTGAATTATTTTGAAGTCCATTCTGTTTCATCCAAACGTTAGGGGGCTGGGGGAAAAACGAAGCCTAGATCTTCAATGGTATAAATGAATCGAAAAGACTGTATTGACAATTATACACTGTAAATAAAAAAGGTTGGTCAATTTTGGGCTGCTATTCTGCCCAATGTTGGTTAAAAAAATCAACTTAGAAACCTTTGGGCAAATTCTTGCCAATATTTGGTCAATGTTTGACCAACAGTAACGGAAAATTGAACAACAATGAGGTCTAGTCCTTTATAAGAACATCTGTCAACTCGTAGGCCTACAAGCCTATTAAGTGCAACAGGTGCATTTTCAGGTTGTTAAAACACAAGAGATTTCAGGTATGTTGGTCTTTGGCATCACACAACCCACAAAATCAATGCTTGCAGTATTTGGGTCGGTCTTGGTCTCAATTACCAGAGAGATACCGTGGTGCAAAATCAAAACTTTTGCTTGTTTTAGACGTCTGTTGTGATGACCATGCAGTAGTAATTTTTTCTTTTCCAAAACCTATTATTAGTATTCAACCTGGACACACATGCTGATTACAGAGTGAAGAAAATAATTACTCTCTCCGTTTTCGGGGAACTTTAGAAATGATCTGGAATACAATCTCAAATGAATGCATGATGGCTTGCTTCATTACAAAGCTCATCATTTAGGTCGAAGCGAGATGAAAGACTGTAGGCGAAACTCAATACTAGCATTAATACGACAGTGCTCAGATGAGTAGGGGATGGATTTCACGTGTAACTCTGAATTACGCGATCCCATGTTCCACGTATTTGTTTTGGTAGGTAGTTTACAAAACTTTGACCTTAGTGATTACTACCTCTCGAAGCATCTTTCATTTCAGTTTGGTACTTTTGCTTTAATTTGATGTGGAGGAAGCCAAAGCAAGGAAACCTTAACACCCACGTTTCGCCAAGACATGCATCTCTTGTCTCAACCTGTCTTCGTGAATGAAGTCAATCATTTTGGAATCTCGTCCAGATGTTAAGAGGGGGAAGTGCTGATTTGATAAAATCATTTCCCGAATTTCTAGAGTATGGAGGATGAAGCGAACTCAACTGATGAATGAAAAAGAATTCCAACATGACTAGAGCTTCGACCTATGAGGTATTATATGAAATTCAGAAATCATACGATTCTTAACGGTCTTTTTGGACCTTTGAAAGACTTCAGGAAGAAGAGATACACTGTCGGCTTTAAAACTGACTGAAAAGGTTCCCCTAAGAGTGGCACCGGTCATTGGTTGTGTACGCTATCGCGAAATAACAAGACAGCACTGGAAAGAAAGAAACTCACCATTTTTTAAATCTTCTGTCACGTTCTTCTGGGGATAACTGAGAAGTTTCTTCACGAGATGGTCCGCTTGGGGTTAAGTTGCCTCTGTCTGTAGGTGCTGCGAATAGCCTGAAATTTCCTGCAGCAGAACGAAACGAGGATAGAATTAAAGCCATAGTCCGACCGTTAGCCACGCGTTCCCACAAGCCAAACCTTGCAACCTGCCAAAACAGCTGCCCGTCGACTTCGACTTACAACCGCGCGACATAACAACGAGTGCGAACACGAAACCATTGTGGACGGGTAGCTTCTAATTATTACTAGTTTTAACTTCACCTCTTCAGTAAAAAAATAAAATAGCAATTAGGCCTACAGTTTGTACAACCTGAAGGATGTGACATGTCAAGAAGAGTATGGTGTAAGTTAGCACGGGAGTGCTAACTTACACCATAGGGTCCTACTCGATATGCACGGGAGTGCATTTCAAGAGACTTCCACGGGTTTTTAACCCTAACCCTCCTCAATCCTTCACCTGTTGGAGGACTGAGGAGTGTTATGGTTAATACAGCCACGATACGTTGCCGTTTTTTTCCAACAATAGCTTCAATCTCCGACGTACTTGTGAATCAATCTTAGTAATGGCTGTACCTGCAGTTCTTCAAGCAGAAATTGTGAATTACCACCCTGAAGTCCTTGAAAGGGTGTGTTTTAGCGTCAATTGATGAGTGCGATACACAGGCCCCCCAAGTAGTTGTCGTTTGATAGAATTTTATAGACCGAGTGCTGCAGACATCAAAAAACGGGGAAGCGATAAAAGTGTCCTTGGTATTTTTAACAACGATGGTTGGTCTTTTATAGTGAGAGTAACACCTGACGATTATCCTTCCGAGAATTGCTATGACGTGTCAGCCGAAGTTATATATGTAGGTTACATTTCTCTTAACTGATTTAGGCATGAATACAAGTCCGTTACTAATTAAGGATCTTGCCCATTCAGATACTGAAGGGTGTTAGACGTCACAGCTGGGAACCATGATTGGTTGAAAACAGCCAATTACATCATTTCCTCCCGCGACCATTCCTGTCAGCAGTAAATCCGTTAAACCACTACGCTAGCTACGGGATCAAGGATTTTGGCGAGGCTTAAGTTACAGTAGACATTGTTTCTGTGACAGTCATCTAACCTATACCTTCAACTTTCTTTGACCCCAATTTCACATTACTGAGGTCAGTGAGGGTTAAAATGCTCGTCCGTGTTTTATGCAGTTCTGGGAGACACTGAACCCAGCCGAAGAGACTTACCGCCCACGTTTAACCATTTGTCATAATAAAAAGGCACGTTTCTACCCACCTTATTTGTTTCTCACGTCGATTCCCAATACAAAGTGACATTATGCCTATATTTATTGCATAAAATGAATGATTAACTACCACTTAAATCAGTTATGTTCCGGTTAGTCAACATTGTGGTATACCATACAGGAGAAGCACACTACTACTCTCAAGCTTATGCATTGGTTGATGAACCATACGGCAACGTGGTCCTATAACTGATGTGTCTCATATTAGGCGTGGGCCCGTGGCTTCCACTCAATGAGGACATGAGAGGTTTCGACGTTGGTCGCTGCGAAAATGATGGCTATGAGAGCACATAAATCGATGCATTACAACAAGGCATTGTACAGAGTATTTATACGTTAGGCCTATTGTATCAAGAAAAGTCACATGGTTGAGTTCAATATAGTACATGTATTCAATTCTGGAAGAGACTCCAAGGTATTTCCAATAATTATGCAAGTTCTTGCGGGGATAAAGAGAGGGAATGTTTCTTTATTTTAATCAAAGTCTTCTTTCTTATTCATAGAACTTTACAAGATGTCCTAAAACTTTGAGAGATTGAGGAATACTATCAATAATCAGTGAACCAAAGTTAGATTACGTTTTAAGAGGATGCATATATTTGGAGAATGATACTGTTTCTTGTTCTGGGAAATCATCCTTCTACACTCAGGAATATTCCACGTCCATTTCTTTTGGCTGATGCACCGTGCTGCTGTACGCCTACTCGATAATTCGGTCGGTATTCAAATACCCGCTGTGTAATAACCCAACGTGTATAATGACCGCCAAGTGTAGCCTTGTACACAATTAATGCAACAGCAGAAGAGGATAGTCCTCCGGCTACTGTAATCAAATAAACATGACAGGACTTCAGACCTCAGTCACCCGACTCACCAACTTATCAGAGCTTCATTGAAGCACGTGCAGTTCCAAACTGAAAATCGGGAAAACCTGTCACTTGTTAAAAAGCTTCAGGAATTTTTTTCTAATATTTTTGATGTATAAAAACGGATTTATTGGAAAATGCCATTCAAACAAAGGGCATGCCTATATATAAAACACACCACCTCTTCTCTGTCCCATATATATACCTCCTGCCGTACATTGCCCTATAAATATAATAACGTACATTTGCCGCCCTTTTTTAACATAGACAGGTGATCAATAAGTGATGTCCTCTTTGACAGAGGACTCAATAATCCTTCAATTTAACTGAGCATTGATAAAAATGAGACAGCCTAGTCCACTATTGAAAATGCCTCATAGAGATTATCCCTTGAAGAAAACCCTGACGGAATCAGTGGCACAGAAACGACACCCTTCCCCCCTTTTTGGGGGGGGGGTCTGAAAGGAACGGCCCTTCTCCTAATCCTGTCTAGAACAAAAGTTTATTGTGACAACTGGCCAAGCACACAGTGATTTCCCTATTACTGAGATAGAATTCTTTATTTTTTCTCTTCATATTAGTTGAAATGTGGCTCATTTAAAAAAAATTCAATGATAAACTTAAGGTAAACAGAATGCCTGGCTCGGTATCAACTGTATCATGATGGCCGTCTTGAAGAGATGCTTCAAATCATGGTGACCAATGATGTCACTTCAAAGAAGTTCAAGCTGTTGTGATCGACAAAACCTGTTCACGCGTGCGGCATAGTACATGGCTGTGCAGTAAGCGGTTCGGTAGTATAGTGGGTCAAGTAGACAGAGCTAAGTGTATCCGGTCCATATTGCCTTCTATCCTCGCGGCTGACCGAGTATCCCAAACGTAAAGATGACGGTGGACAGAGACATGTCAAACGAGTTACATCATCTGAGGCACACTGTTTGCGACGACATACCAGAAGTGGCCCTCGGGGAGGCGAAAAACTTGTGAAGAGTGCAAGGTGGAGCCGAAATAGTTGGGAACGTGAACAGTCATGAACTCACAGCACTTCACTCGTTTCACCTTGGCATTGCTGCGGGGACACAGGCATGTAGGGCTCTGGTGCCATAAAATTGTTGGAAATGGGGGTATCATTGGACAGCGTTGGCATGTATTCTTTTATGGGAATGTGTATACCGACTGAGACATTCTGTTGTCATTTCTGTTTGTTTTCAACAAAGCCACGGGCACCACATACTATTGTGGACGAGAAAGTCATTTTCTCATTTTCAAGCACGAGTGCTGTACTCTAGAAGTGCCCATCTTGGGATTCACCTACTGTTACATCGTCTCTGTTTGCCTCTCTGCTCAGCAAATAATGACGGTGGACGTGCAGTGCCATGACCGTGGAAGTCTCTAAAAAGTCAGACCTAAACATGACAGCTTGAGTTACAGTCGTTTGGATTGTGCTGGAAAGGGGTCTGAGCAAATGTTAACCATTTCAACAAAAATGAGCCCTAGAGTTGCCATGCAGGCCAACGAAGTTTGACAGAACACTTGGAGTTTATCCCACCAGTCTCAAGACATTATAAATGTAAGTTCAGTTTGTAAGCCCTCATAAAGTTATTACTCTGCTCTGATGGATTGCACTACCTATAATTAGCTTATTCATCCATCAAAATATTTTTAGCATCATCGCCAATTTCACCCCTTAATTGTCGCTGTCTGTACTAATTAGGCACCAGAGACGTTCAGATAGAACCAAAATGCCACAAACACTATGGGAGCGAAAGTCCCTATGCAGGAAGCAGAGGAACGAGCCGTTTGCCTGATTGCCGTGGACTATCCATCAGTCACCTTTGATCAATCTGTCACTGCCCATTTGGGTCGACGGGGGAAAATTAATGTCCCTTGAAATTATAAGGTGGCCCTCCGGACTACAGGTCATCGGGAAGGGAGCAGGGCAACTTGGGTTAATTACCCGCGCGCTGCCAGCTTGGTCTTTGTTATGAATGAGAAAGAATTAACTCGGTTCGCTATACCCGAGCAAACGCGGCGCGTTTTCCCCTCATTCCGCCGGGGTGATATGTTACCATGATCTAGAGAATGTTGCTCCCTTCTTTGTGCACACCCATCCGACACGGGTGTATGTGTGTGTTAGTCAGGGTGAAGGGATTAATAAGACAATCAATCATACAAATTGCTTGTTTGGGGGAAATGGAATTTTGGCAATCGATCGCATTTGCTACAAACTGTCAACACTGATTCAGGGTAGATAGAAAAATGGGGGGGGGGCGGCGCAGGGTCGAAAAGTGAAAATACAATTTGAGAAGCTGATTTAAAGTTGAGGACTTTGTTCGAGGAATGTGCCCTACAATTTGTCATCCCCAATGTTCCCCGCGGCTGAAGTCTGTGAAATGAATTTCTGACTTTGAACGCTTGTTCACAAGTCTTGAAGTGCTTCACGGTGCTTGGAATTGACGAGTGGAAAAACAAAGCTAACAAACAACCAACGAAACAGAAGCAATTAGCTCAGGGATGGCCTTACTTTCAAAAAAAAATACTGCAAGCTTTCACAAAAACCCAACTCTCATTCAAAAACCAACTTTCTAAGTTAGACTGACTCAGAAGGAATGCAGCTCTTTTTCAGACATCTTATAACTTACTCTCTGTGATTTGCTCCAACACTTTCCTCAATACGTGTCAAGACCCACCAGACTTGATTGCAACCTTTCACTGCAATCATACCTTTCATCCCGCCACTATACATTAACAACATTACTTCCAGTCAAGGCCCATTGGGTGATCTATTTAACGTTCATAATCGTTGACGGTTGATCTATTTAGAAGCTACTTTTACTGTTGGTTGGGTGGATTGGCCGATATCCAAAAGAGAGTGGATCATGGCGCCAATCCTGTCGTTAGCACAGAACTAA